AGCCTTCGATTAGATTATTTCCAATACATTGTACAAAAGATTAATCTCCCTTTACATTTACTTTAGCAAAAGCTTATGTTCAGTTACCTTATAACATTACTTCAAAAAAACATTCAACTTAAAATCATCTAATATCCTTACTTGCAGATCACTCTCTTCCACAATCTGATGTAAATATTTAAAAAGTCTATTCATTTCATATCAGAAGGTATGACCCAACTGTACTTTGCAAGCTCAATTTTCAGTATCTATGAAAAATTGTAACTTAATCTCCAAGACTACAAAAATGCTTGATAACGATAAAGTTGCACAATATAATCATTTAGCAAACTAGACCAATGATATCAGAAAACAAATGAAATACTCATAAATTCAACATTATTAACATGTAACATTAATGCAAATTATTTAAATATCTACTGGGGAATAAACATGTAAATATAATTTCCAATGCTATATGTTAATGTCAAGAAAATGAGTGAACTTTGAACTTCTGCCAAAAGTCATCTGAGAACAAAAAGGTTGTTCAGTTGTAAAGCTCTTAAGGGAATCACATCAGAGAGAAAGAGATAAATGACACCTTTAAGTCAATTACCACTGGTGTCAGATATACCAAAACAGACCCTTCTCTCAAATTCTTTCAAGGGGGAAGAAAGATAATCACAGCAAGGACTAGTCTAAGACTCCTGTTAACTCCTCTAGCTCACTAATTATGTGGCAACTAAAAAGAACTACCCAGCATAATGAAACACCGGTTAAATTCAACTCTCTGCCAATTCCATTCCTACACCAAGAAACTGAAGAGAAAACACACAACCATGATGCCTGGCTTCATTTGCAATGCATGACCACAAGACTCAGCTGGATCCTTCCTGCTTCCAGCAATGCTCCCATACTCTCCAGTATATTCACTCTCCTAGATGGCAATCACACATTTTATCCTCTCATCTCAAACATTAATACCACCTACTCCATCATCCCTCTCAGCTGCTGAGAATAAAGTGAAAATCAGAAGACAACAAAGAAAATGAGAAGAGAACTAAGAAATAAAAAGTCATTAGAAACTCCAAAGGGCACCCTTTGGGGTGCCCATCTTCATGGATCTCTATCCACACATTCTATTTTCTCTCTTTATCCTCAATAAATGATCTAAGCTCCTACTGAAGCTCATTCAACCCAAAACCCTTCTCTTCCACTTGACCAAATAAATTACTTCAGCACTCTCTTAACTACACAACTTCCTCTCAACTATATAATCCCCATCATGATAGAAACATACTATCATTTCTGGGGCACCTGGATGGCGCAAGTCAGTTAAGCTTCCTACTCTTGGTTTCAGATAGGGTTGTGATCTCAGAGTCATGATACTGAGTCCCACTCAGCACTCAGTGGGGAGTCTGCTTGAGATTCTCTCTCCCTCTCCCTCTGCCCCTCCTGCTCATGCTCTCTCTCTCTCTCTAAAATAAGTAAATCTTAAAAAAACAAAACCAAAATACATTGTCACTTCTGCAATTTAAAAAATCTTGACCTCATAACCCTCTTGAAATAGAGCCTCATTTCTCTCTTGCCTTTTGTAACAAAGGACCTCAAAACAGTTGTGTATAATTTCTGTCTCTAACTCCTCTCCTCTTATTCTTCCTTGAGCCATTCCAAATAAGCTTTTGCCCCTACACTCCACAAAACCACTCTGGTCGAAGTTACCAATAACTTCCACATTAACACAATGTTCAATTCTCAGAATTCATCTTACACAAGTTACATCAGCAGGATTTGACATGGCTGATCAGACCCTCCTCCTTCCAACACTTTTCTTCACCTGGTTCCAGGATACCACACTCTTGTTTTTCCTTCTGTCTAATCTTCTCTGGTGCCTTTGCTGGTTACTACTCATTCTGACCTCTTAATGTTGAAGGGTCCCAGAGCTCAGTCCTTGAACTTCATCTCTTTTCTAACTATGCTCACTCTGCAAGTAATCTCGTCCAATTTTTGCTTTAAATACCCTTTGATTTAAAAAAAAAAAATCAATGAAACCAAGAACTCGTTCTTTGAAAAGAGTAACTAAATTGATAAACCTGTAGCAAGACTCATTAAAAAAAAAGAGTATTCAAATAAACAAAATTACTAATGGAAGAAGAGAAATAACCAACACCACAGAAATACACATATTTCTAACAGAATATATTAAGAAAACCTATATGTCAACAAATTGGACAACTTAGAAGAAATGTATAAATTCTTAGAAACATATAACCTACCAATACGGAAGCATAAAGAAACAGAAAATTTGAACAGACCAATTACCAGCAATGAAAATTGAATCAGTAATCAAAAAACTCTCAAAAAACAAACTCTAGGACCAGACAGTTTCACAGGCAAATTCTACCAAACATTTAAAGAAGAGTTAGTACCCATTCCTCTCAAACTATTTCAAAAAATACAAGAGGAAGGAAAACTTTCAAATTCATTTTATGAAGCCAGCATAACCCTATACCCAAACCACATAAAGACACTATAAAAAAAGGAGAAATACAAGCCAATATCCCTCATGAATATAGATGCAAAAATCCTCAACAAAATACTGGGCAAACTGAATCAAACAATACATTTTTTTTTTTAAAAATCATACACCATGATCAAGTGGGATTTATTCCTGTGACAGAAGGGTGGTTCAATATTCGCAGAAAAAGCATTTTACAAGAAAGATGCAGGAAAAGCATTTTACAAAGTATAACATCCATTCATGATAAAAACCCTCTGCAATCTCATTCTTCACCTACTCAGTCAAAAGGCCTAGAGTCATTCAAGACCTCTCTCTTTTTCTCATATCCCACATTCAATTCATCAGCACATCCTCTGCCTTCAAAATACGTCCAGAATCCAACCACATTTACTGCCTTCATTAGAACCATCCTGCTCTTCAAAAGATACAAGTAAGAAAATGAAGACAAGCTACAGACTGGTAAAAAATATTTATAAAGCATATATCTATGAAGGACTTGTATCCAGAATATATAAAACTCAAAAAGCTGATCAATAAGAAAACAAACCACTTAGTTTAAAAAAAAAAAATAAGTAAATAAGCCAAAGGATTTGATATTTTTACCAAAGAAGACATGGATAGAAGACATGAAAAGATAATAATGCTCACCATTATTAGTAGCTGGGAAACATAAATTAAAACCACAATGAGATACCTCTAGATACATATTAGAATGGCTAAGTTAAAAAGACTGACAATATATGGAGCACTGTTTGAAACATAAAATGGTACAACCACGTGGGAAAGTGGCATGGCAATTTCTTAAAAAGTTAAATATACACCTGTGGTCAAAGAGTGTTTATTGATAGAAATGGTCTACTTCAGAAGCTACTGAGATATGACTTAGCACTATGTATTGGTGATTCTTCCCTTGGTTGAAAGATACTAAACCATACACCTCCAGATGATGCAAACATTCCATTCCTAAGTATTCTCAGGAGAAACGAAAATACACAATCACTTAAAAGTTTCACAGACAAATGTTTACAGCCCCAAAGTGGAAAATGCCCAAATGTCCATCAACAGGTGAAAAGATAAACAAATTATGGTATACCCATAAAAAAAAAATACTCGGTAATAAAAAGGACTGAAACATAGATCAATCTCAAAATAATCATGGTGAATAAAAGAAGCCAGAAAAGAACACACACACACACACACACACACACACACATACTGTTAATTCCAGTATATAAAACTAGAAAATACAAACTAATCTACAATGACAGAAAGCAGATCAGTGGTTGCCTGAGGAAGAGGGACACTCAGAAAGGCAGGACGGAGGGATTACCAAGGAACACGAGAAAGTCTTGAGGGTGATGAATATGTTCATTATCTTGACTGTGATCACTGTATCACAGGTATACATATGTCAAAACATTAAATCATTTATGCGGTTTATTGTATGTCCACAATAATTCAATAAACCTATGTCTAAAAAGAATATAGCAGGTACTTGATAAATATTTTTGTAATAAATAAAGTGGATGAAAGTAAAAACAAATGCTAAGAAAGCAAAATCCTAGAATGAATAGAAGTAGAAACATCTCTTTTTTTTTTTTTTTTTTTTCTTTTTGAAGTAGGAACCCCTTATATCCTCCCTTCTTGAATAGTATTCTTTTCTGAATGAGAAACTGTAAGTGGAATAAGCTAACACGAAGCAGAGCCCCTCAGTATGAAGTTGCCGGGCCTTCCAGCCAGTCCTGAAATGGACAACTGTTGTCCCAATATGCAAATCTGCAACAGTCCCCCAGCTGCTGAATATCTCAGAAACGTTGCCTCAGGGCGCCTGGTGGTACAACTACCGACTCTTAGTTTTGTTCAGGTCATGATTTCAGGGTCATGAGATGGGGGAGATGGAGCCTCATGTCGGGCTCCTGGCTCAGCATGGAGGACTCTGCTTGAATTCTCTCTCCGTCTGCCTGCCCCCACCCTGACCTCCCATGCACTCTCTCTCCCTAACATAAATAGATAAATAAATCTCTAAGAAAAAAAGAAAGAAAGAAACATTGCCTCATTTTTCCTTCTTATATAATCCTTACTTGTGATTAAATGTATTTTGACCCTTTCTCCACAAATTTAGTTTGCTGTAATTTTTTTGATAACTAAGGAATGGCCATAGAGGTATTCTCAGCTCATCAGCCTTGGATGAAAAGAACCTTTCCTTGGATTCCTTGTCTTCTGTCTCCCAATTTCCCACTGAGGTAGAAAAATCACCATCTCTATTTTATTTACCTCTCTTCCTCCTTCTCTTTGAAATACTAACTTCCACTCTTCAGCATTAATTTAAGCATCATCTGAATTAATGAATATACCTACACTTCTTTCATAAGCTGCTACGGTTATACATTTTCTGTGACATGACTTCTTCATCATAAATTAAATAAAATTTAAAAATAAAATAAAATATAAAATAAAAGTAAAGCATCTGCTTATGTTTAAAGTTAGCCCTATAACTCACCTCATTTCCACCAACTGCCTTGGTTAAAATCACTGCAGAAGACACAGGGGGAGGCATGCAACCTACTGTCTGCAAACTGGAAAATAAAAGAAAATGCAATTATAAGGTTTTTTTTCTATCATAAATAGCAATTCTCAAACTTTCAGCTCATAAAAAAAAGTTCATGTTGCTGTAACATCATTGAAGAACAAGCATGATATGATCATATACTTTTTGGATTTAAATTGTGGTAAATTCTAGTACCTATTCTAAATTTGTTTTTATTAAATTATGCGTATACTCCCCAGATCATGATTCTCTTAGTTTAGGATAGAAAACACACTGTATAACATTTCATTTGCTATGAAACTATGAGTAGTAAATCTAAATACTAAAGTTACAAAACATTACTTATCACCCAAAGCATGGATACACTTTCCACATAGACTGAATATACATTCTAGACATAGAGAGTAGCTGGCCTGAGTAAAAGTAGAAAGATCATATATGGAACAGAGGACATAGAGTGCCTGACTTTAACAAATGTTAAGTGCAGGATTACAGATGACCTCTACTTGCTTGTGTAAGAATGTATCATTTAAAATTTATGCAATGAATTTGAAAAAAGAAAAAGTTTTAATTCATTTTGACTAAAAACATGAGAAAACACCTTTAAAAGAATTTCCAGTCCAATCTAAGTCTTGTTTTAAAGTCTGTCTTCCCAAGTGATGCTTAAATTGTCTGTCTTATTATCAATTCCCAATCTCTGAGCCTTTCTCATGATCATCACTATAGTCATCACTGATACTTACTAAGCATTTACCATTTATAGTAGATACTATTCAACATACTTTACTCACTTCTTCCTCACAACTGTTTAAGATACATTCTATTTTTACTCTCATTTTCCTGAAAACTGAAGTTAAAAGAGAAGTTAAAGAACTTGTCCAAATTCACAAAGCTACCTACCAAGTATTAAACTTTTATTCTGGAATCTGGGACAAAGACTTATCTAGCCCTACTATTCTAGCCTCTCCGCCTTTCCTGTCTTTAAAAAAAAAAAAAATCCTTAACTATTTATCGAATACAAGTTACATATGCATTCTATAGTTAGGATACTACATAAGGGATATTCCTACCTCCAAGGATATTCAATACACAAATGTAAATAAGTAACAGCAAAATGAATACTGTTGCCATTACATTTTTAGCCCCAACCACCATTCCCAAATCTGTAGCTGCCCGTGACTGCCCCCTCAAACTAAACATGTCTAATATTTTCTAAAAAATCCATTTCACCTCTGAATTTACTTATTTCTATCAATGGGATACCTCTGGTGTGGTTTTTTTTTTCCTAATATCCAATTTGAAACTTTGGAGTTATATGTGGCTCCACTTGCTCCTCATAAATCAATTTATTACCACAATAAACTTTGCGTTCTTCTCCATGACTGTTGCCAGGATTCCCCTTCAGATGCTTTTTGCCACGTTTGGACTTCAGTAAATGAATGGTCTCTCTACCTTCACTCTTTCCCTTCACACAGCAAAGTAAGAAGGGTATGTTCAGGATCTTTATTTATTTCAATGACTTAAATGTGATCCTGAGGTAGGAGTCTGTAACTCCCTGAAGTTAACATATTGTGTACTCTCAAACTGGGGAGGGGAACAGAGAAAAAGTGGGCTAGGAAGAGCTTTCTCTAAGTTAATTAGGCCAAGTGTGTACTTCTTTAAGCTTCATATCCTGAGGTGAGAATTGTATCTTAGCTTCCTGAGATTGTAAACCCTACTCTACTAATAACATACCCAGTACAATGGTATCAGATTAATCTTTCTTGATGACCACTTTTTAGCATATTGTTCTCTTGTTGAATGTATTTAAGAACTCCCCATCATCTACAGATGCAAGCCCAATCTTCTCAGTCCGGTAGTTCAGGCCTTCTGCAATTTGGCTGTGAGGAAATTTTTTATCCTTGCCTCTCCCTAATGCCTTATTTTTTAACTATCTATTTTAGGAATACACAACCTTTGCTGAACCTCTTACCCTTTAATTCATTATACTACTTTTCTAACAAATCACATGCTATCCCACTGTGGTTGGTTACTATTTTATATTTATATCTCCCACACATCCATCTACCCTGGCCATTCCCTGAATACAAGAAAAATGAGTTAATATCTTTCTATTCTTTGAGTGCCTTTTACATGGGAAACACTCAGTAATGATTGCTTCTCAATATCCATCACACATTGCTGCTCTAAAATGATGTCATCATAGTCCTGTGGAATTTTATGCTTTTTAGTAAAAGTTTTAAGCTCATTCTTTCAAACTCAATCTGACCAAACCAGTGGTCTTAATTTTCCCTTCTTGTCCTGCTCTGTTTCTCTTCAACTAAGAAAAGGATGCCCCCAATTACCCAGTGGCTCAGACCCATAACCCAGAAATCTTCCTTGATTCCTCCCTGTCCTCCTCTCTCCACATCCTATCCCCCTCCAGGTCCCAGGAACTCTAATTTACAGTACATCCTCCAACACCCATTTCTGTCTACTACACAGTGACCTTACCACAGGAGCCTTCCAAGCTGCTCTCCTAGCCTTCTCTCAGCCTCTCTACTATATCTATTCTCCATGCAGGAGCCAGGACAATAATTTGAACATATAAATCAGACCACGACAATGCCTCATTTAAATCCCTCCAGTAGCCTTCTGTCGCACGCGAGTAAAATCTGAATGCTTTTATCATGGACCTACAAGATTCTGTGTGACCTGACCCCTGCCTACCTTTCCAACTCCAAGTCATATTATTCTTTCTCTGTTTTGCCAGGCTCTGGCCATCATCATCACTTTCCTGACCCTAGAACACACCAGGCTTGTTCCTGCCCTACAGCCTTTGTGCATTCTCTTCCTTTGCCTAGAACATTCTATCCCTAGAACTCTGTCATCTAAATTAATCACTGGCCCACCCACCCAACCACTTTCAACCTTACCACAGTTTTACTTCCCATCATTTATCTCTATCTTAGTTATCCACTTACTTGGTTATTGCCAATCACACCCAAGTCTTCTCAACCTGCAAAACTACCTGGCATTTTGCCATTTTTATTCACTATTATTTCCCCAACACCCATAATTCCTGGCACACAGTGGCAAATAAACAAGTGACTTAAACAGATGAATAAGTGATCTCAATTGAGATCCTCCACACTATTACCAAAGTAGGCAGCAAAAATGTGACTATCCTCATTATTTATAGGCAGGGAAATTAAGGTTTAAATCTATTACATGACTTCTTCAAAATCACACAGCAAGTTAGGGATAGGGTCAGAAAGCGATCTCAGGGCTCTAAGTTCAGTGCTTTAACTATTAAACTGTTATACCATGCTGCTAAAATGTGGTTAGTTTTAAACCACTTCAAATAATTTTTTAAATTCATTAAATCCTTTTAATAAAAATGGCATTTTTAATGGAAAAGAGCCTAATAAAAATCTATTGTTAATTCAACTATTATATCAAACACAGAACAAGTAAAAAAGTGTGTTTGTTCCCTATCTATATAATTTTTCTTTCCTATACATTTAAAAGACATGCATTAGATTCACCTATTATCTGTATACATTCGGTAAGATACAGAATGTACAAACTAAAGCACCCAACTGACAGCATCTCTACATCTTTCTATTCCCTCCCATCTCTCTCCCAACACTGCTTTTTAAAATTCCCAGAACAGCATCCATCCCAGAACCTTAGGATTAAACATGAGGGTGTATTTTAAGATTGTGTTATAATTAAGAGCACACTTATGTTGATGAGTACTGAGTAATATATAGAATTGTCAATCACTATATTGTACGCTTGAAACTAATATCACACTGCATGTTAACAATACCAAAATTACAATTTAAAAAATTTACTAATAAAACCCTTTGAAATAAGAAAAAAAATATATTGTGTTATAAAATTCTTTGATGCATCTCCTTGAGGAACACTATCATTTAAAGGATAATAGTTTTTCAAGTGTTTTATTTCCTCATAAAAGACCACACATAGGCCCTTTTGTATATAGTTGCCGCAGAAACAATAAAGTCACCACCGATGCCTCATTAAAAGTGGACCCTTCAAAATATTTAAACGTACCCTTTTAAAAGCCATTCATTGATGGGTGTGATTGATAAAAGCTGGAGAAAAAGCCATATTGTTGCTGGAAAGAATGCAAGTGTAAAGATCTGAATGAAAAGGTGCAGTTTTATATGCACCAAAGCACTGGTCAGCTCCTGCAAAAACGAAAGACACAAAACAGCAAAGGTAAGAAAACTATTTTTCTGAGGAGAGACGGATACTACAATAACATCAAATAAATTAGTTTTTAATTTGGAGTTATTTCAGAGCTAAAATCTTTACCCCTGAGTATATGCATAACAGACAGACTATAAGGCGGGAAAATAGGTATTTTTATACAAAATTTCTGAACTATTCTAATTTTTTCTGAATATACAATATACCCCAACAATTCAGATTTGTAAAATTCTGGACCAAGACTGAGCCAAGTACCTTTACATTAATATAGACCTGAGTTGACACTGTGAACAAACATGTATATAACTACTTAAGGACCTATCACATTTTAATTAAATATGATTAATCTCTAAGAAGGCCTCACCTTGGCAAGATATTACCAAATCCACACACAAATCATAATTTTTAATAATGTTTTCCCCAACAATATTCTATAATTCAAAATGGCTTTTCCCCCCAAAACCAACTTTCTGGATTTCCTCACTAATGCTTACTGAACAGTGGCTATGTGCCATGCTCTGAGTGTGTCACTTCATGTATGTTATCTCATGTAACCATCACGACAGCCTCACTAGATACTATTAACCAATTTGACTGAGGAGGAAATTGAGGTGGAGAGCCACCATACAGAGCAGCTCAGACTCAAACTCATTTCCGGTATGCTAGCGGACTCAGGTCTGCTTCTTCCATCACGCCACTCTACTGCCCCAGATGGAAGACATTCACAATAAACATGACAGACCAGGCACAGGCTCTATGTCTCACAACTAGAAAAGGATAATGAGTTAAATTGGGGGGTTCAAATATGTACAAACTAGCAAGCACTTGTATTTAAATTTCTTTGAGTTATAGCATTATTCAGCTGAAATAAAACAAACTCAGAAAGAAGTAGAAAAATACTATAAAAATAAGTACTGTTTTTTTTAAAAAGTCCTATAAAATATGCAAGAAGTCATTAAAGCACAAAGATGCCAGAGATTCATCAGTTATAAGCAAAGCAATGGAATGTCTCCCCTAGTTCATGTAAGAAATTCAAGAAATCCTGAGCTTCAGAGACGTTAGCAAAAGCCCATCAGTTTAACGGACACTAGGTTGATGCTGACTCTGTTCGCCACGTTCAGGGATCGGTCTCATCGGCTCCCACTACATATCTCCCTGTATGAAGACACACAGCAGTGCCAGTGTGGTCACGAAACATCTTTAATGACACCTAAGGAATTTCTAGCAACCTGGGTCTAACTTCAGACAAATGCAAAGCACTGAGCAGACCAGAAGCCACACCAGGTCCACGGATCAGATCTAAGATCAAAGGAGCCATCCTTACACTGTATTAGAATGCTTAAAGTTTCACCCAGAGAAAAGATGAGCACCAGCAGTTTCAAGAATGCTCAGCAGTTCCAAAACCAAATCCCACTCAAATATAATCAGATGTATTTGATAAATACCAAGTAAATATTGATATTTTAATTTTTTAACTATAACAAAATGATTAGCCAGAATGTAGTTACTAAGGAATTTGCATATACTTGAGCTAGGAATATGAAACAGCATAACTTTTCTGAAAAGTAACTTGGGAATATGTATCAAGGACTATAATACGACTCACAGTCTTGGACCCCAAAGTGCTATGTCTAGGTACTTATTCTAAGGATAAAAAATGTGGTCATAAGTATTTTGTACAAAACTGATCACAACAGCAAAAATTAGGAAACAAGTTAAAAGTGCAAAAATGAATGAATAATTAAATAACTTAAGGTATAACAAGACTGTTACAAGTTAGTGAAAACCATGTTAAAACTGTGTTGACAAGCATGTGGTAACACAAGGCCCCTTCCCTACTTAACCAGTAGGAGTATAAATTGGCACAACCTGGGGACAGCAATCTGGCAATTCATTCCTTCAGTCAACAAACACTTGCCAAGAACCCAACACTCCTCTAGGTACTTCAAATTATCTGTCACAACTTACACTGCACATAACATTTGACTTAGCAGTTCTCCTTCTAGGAATTAATCCTTCACATTTTCTCCCAAATGTGGAGAAAAGGACAATTTTTAGGTTATCCTTTGCAGCATTTTTGTGATAGCGAGACCTTGAAAATTATCTAAATGTCTGTCAATGAGGACTAATAAAATACATCATGAAACATTCATAAAATGGAATGTTTTCCAGCATACAAAAAGAAACAAGGAGTTCTTTATGTGTTGATATGAAACAATCTCTAAGACAGGTTTTTTGAGTAAAACAAGACAGGGTGGCAAGCAGTACAAACACCACAGCTTGAAAGGGGGGCACATATGTTTTACACAGAGTATCTCTGGAAAGATACAAACTATCTTTCTGGTTATCTCCAGATATCTGACAGAGGGGAGAAAAAAGGACTTTTCATCATATATACCTTTGTAACTTTTGATTTATGTTCATAAAAGCAAACAAAATGTAAATTGTATATACATGAAGAAAAATTAAATTAATATATTAAATTACATGGAAAATCATAATTACACAATGTTACAAGGGAAAAAAGATTATATATGTGTAAACATACGTGATACATATGCAAGTATACATATGTGTATACTTGCAAATATACATAATTTTTTAAAATATTTCTTTTTTAAATATTCTATATGTAAAACATGTTTAGGAAAAAAGGGATTAAAAATCACAGAGGTGTTACTACTAGTTGTTTTCATTCTTTCTAACCTTTCTACAATGGGGAAATACCACTTTTATAATCAGATAAAGTTATAAAAAACAAAACGTAGTTTAAAAATACTAGCTGATCCAATAAATGACAATTAAGCAATTGCCACTGCATCAGAACAAAGGAACAATAAAGAATCCAGCAAAATGAATCACAAAGGCCAACCATATTGGTCATAAGAGGCCTCTTGACAACAGGGAAATAACAGGCTATCCCAAAGCCCAGCCATATCTTCTTCATACAACCACAAAGATAAGTTACCAGTAGAAAGTATTTGTATACAGAGGTAACAATGAAAATAAGGTAACGATGGAAAAGAAAAAGCAAGTGGCCACTATAACATTCAAAACAGTATTATTCCATACATACCCATGCAGAATTTAGGGCCACACACTCAGATAAATGCCATCACGAATAACTGAAAAGTTGATTCTGCATGACATTTTATTTATTCACATGTAATACAGGTCAAATTGCATTAAAATAAACTTAAGGAGATACTCCCAACACTGATTACCAGAGTTATCATTGACAGTATCAAGAATTGCTTAAAATCAGGGCTTCTGACTGAGATGTAGGAGTACTTCCATTACATACCAATTTCCCTTCTAACCCTTATTTGACCTTTATTTGATTCACTTCCTGAGAATCAGTCTCATAGCTCTGGGCTGGAAATAAGCAGAAGAACCTAAAGTTTAAAATTTGCTATATTTGCTTCTAAGGTAATAGGACTTCCAAAATAATTTTTTTTAGGAAAATAGGAAAGACTTGTATATTCTGCCCTACTCGGGACCCTTTCCAGGCCCTGAGCATTTTGCTCATCTTTGTTTCCAACCCAGTGCCAAACACAGTGCCTTGTAGCCACAGGCATTTCATAGGTATTATGAGATTTCATAGGTTTATATGAGATTGTTCCTGCCATGGTATGCTGAGTGACCAATCCTCTGAAACTGTAGTTCCTAATTAGTTAAACATAAAATATATTTCAAATGTGACTTATCTGACTTTAATACAACAAATTTTCAGAAAACATTTCAACAGATTTTTTTTTTAAAGATTTTATTTATTTATTTCACAGAGAGAGATCACAAGTAGGCAGAGAGGCAGGCAGAGAGAGAGGAGGAAGCAGGCTCACCGCTGAGCAGAGAGCCTGATGCGGGGCTCAATCCCAGGACCCTGAGATCATGACCTGAGCCGAAGGCAGAGGCTTTAACACACTGAGCCACCCAGGCGCCCTTCAACAGATATTTTAAAATCTAGAAATCAATAGTCATAAAACTGAAGAGAGCATTAAATCTTTTTAGTATTAAGTATTAAACACAGAGTTCTTTATATTTTAATAAATTAGCAAAATAATTTTAGAATATCCACCATTATGTCAATGTATGGGTAATACTATATGAAATGTTCAGTACAAATCAAACTTGAATGGGACCAATTTAAATGCTCTCAAACTCAAGTCAGTAGTAACTTACTATCTCCTGTGTGTGGAAATGCACTATTCTAATAGGGCTCAAAAATAGTAGTCCTGCTGAAATAAATGTAAGATTATTAACTAGAAAACAAGTAAAGAGATCACTACCTCCTAACTTAAACCTGTTCAGTTGCCCAGGAAGTCAGCGGGGCTTAAAGATGGTTTAACATTATACAGTGATGCAATCTAGAACATCTTAAGTTAAATGGATCCTGAAAATGACTTAATGTAGTATAGTTTGAAAAGGGCCATTGATGAAAGAAATGGCTTTGATGGCTACTTAGATACTGTGATAAAGCACAGAATTAAGGCATTTCATCATTAGATCCAAATTAGCTGGACGACTCTGACGGTTTCCTAGGTGTTTACAGAAGAATTTGGTTCTTAGAGAAATGCTGATAAGCTGTTACATTCTTCCTTGTTAAACTCCTGCATCCCAAAGTTGGCTGCTTTACAGAATCACATTAAGCAAGAAGCTAGGAGTGAGAGAATCAAGTCTCTTGCCAGATTCCTCATGGCATGAGTAACAGCTGTAGCCGTTAAGCAACCACCAGGGGACACAGTTAGAGCAATGTCCCAAGAAGAGGACTTGGATAAGACACCTGCTCCGCAAAGGACATTAGCCACGATGAGCAGGAAGACCTCCAATGAAGAACAGACCAGCACCATGGGAGTAGCAAATACTTTTCTGTATCACTAGGTCCCATATTTGAGAACCAATAGAACGAAGATGTTAACAGAAAAAAATCTGTGTCCTCTAAGAACTGATCAAAGTCCTTTTGTGTCAATACACTTTGGAAAAACTAGATTTAATACATTTAGGAAATTACTTTCCATGCCAGTTATTTCCAGAAGAACAGGTAGTAAGGATATTCAGAATTTTTGAGACAAATTTATCAGTTACCACCCAGGGACCCCATCTATATAAAAATAGCTCCAATAGAAAGATTTATACCAACCAGTAACAACTGAATGGTCAAAGAAGGAGGTAACTAAATTTGGTCCTCATTCAAATCACACTTAAAATAAGTAAAGCACAACATGATGGTGAAAAAAAAATTTCAACTTTTAAAGCTATTCACAAAAAAAAAAATTCTTGCATAGTAAGATTTCCTTATCTACATAAGAATAAGCATCTTAGACTAAGAACTTTAAAACCCTAAGAATTTTCTTCAAAAATAAACGGGCATTTTTTCCTTTCTATTATAAGTTGGAGAATCATAAATTCTACTAATTCTTCTCTTGGATATTAAAAATGTCTGATTTCTTTAATTCTAGGAGAATCCCATGTTCAGCGACACCTGGATCAATAAATAATATTACCTACATGTCTCCATGATGAACTGTGACATAGTATGAAAAATCCCAATTTTTCTCTTAAAACAGTTATTAAGATGTAATAGATAAGCCATCAAAGGATATACTTTAAAACATACAAATTAGTTAAAAGTCACAGCATAACATGCATCACTTGAGCAGCAAGAGTCCTGACAACAAAAGTTCATCCACAGAAGTCATGGAAACCCAACTAAAAAACAACAACTGAAATGTGCCATAGCATTCACCACCATAGTCACCACCACCATAATCTGAGGAAAACCTAAAGTAGATGCTTCATTCAGTTCAGTTGCTGTATTAAAAACATACCCATTATAACCACACCCTCAGGGTCCATGTTGTTCAACTACAAAATTTCTATAATATACAAGTTCAAAAAACAGTCCTTTGCTGAAGTTCAAGTTATTTTTTGTTACAGTGAAGCCTTTAAGCCATAGTTCCATATACCTTTATGAAAGGATTCTGAAATTTCACAATAATAAGCAGAAATTAAACTTTTTTCCCTGCTTATCACATGCCCAATAGGTGACAGTACCTCTGTTTTTAATGATAGTCCGCTGTTAAAGAATATTGTTGCAACAGCAATGTAGGAGACAGTTATTTCTGGTTTCAATGGTCCTAAAGAGAGAGAAATAAGTTACTGTTAGATAAGAATTTCCAGCAGATAACTTGGTATGAAAGAAGAATCCATTGGGGGAGGGCAAATAGTACTTCAAGTCTTAGTATTACCCTAGTACACTACTGTTCTGACAGGGTTAAGCATTTGCTGTGATGCAGTCTAACTCCAAAGGGGATTTTCCAGAAGGAAGGACCATGGCTGTCCAGTTCAGCACAGGATCCTCAGACCAGAAGAACACTCTCCTGGGTGAGAGCAGATAGGCAACATCCCTTAGTATTAGGACCTAACTGCATCTGCCACAGTATCAGTGTTTATGTAACAATCAAAATTCCCCAAACCAAAAAAAAAAAAAAAAAAAGGAGAGAGAGAATCTGTGGAAGAAGTTCCCTTCTCTTTACCAAATATTACTTTGCTCTTTCTAGGATACCAGAAATAAAAACTGGTATTCACACACACATTCAATTCCACCCAAGGGTGTCCATTTCTACAAATATTTATTCAGCACTTATTTTGTGAAGGAGCACTTGCTATGTGAGTGAGATAAGGCATACAGAGTAATAGAGTACTAACAATAGGTTAGGTTTCCAGTTATTATTACATTGTGCAGGCCCTGGCTACACTGTAGTGAACCAGGCAATCCTGATCTTTGCCCTCTGGAAAACCATCTCTGAAATCAGGTTGGCCATCTCCCCAAATGTGTTAACGCTATAAAGAACAGCAGCAACCCTGATACTTCTTTTTATAATCTGTATACAATTGTCTTAAAGACCCAATGTGTTAAGCAAAGAACAACATTCTTTTAAAAGATGTCATCTGAGAAAACTCCATTTTGTACTTATGTACTAGTGGTCCTCCAGAGGCTGCCATTTTGCCTCCCACAGACATTTGGCAATGTTTGGAAACTCTTTTTGGTTGTTGTAACTCAGCAAGTGGGGTGTGTTACTGGCATCTAGTAGACTGAAATCAGGAGTTCTGCTAAACAACCTAGAAAGCACAGGCCAGCCCTCCCAACAACAAAGAATTATCATGTCCAAAATGTCAATAGTGCTGAGGTTGAGAAACACTGGCATATGCCAACATTTTAAATGTGATCACCTCATATTTGGCATTCTATTCAACCCTCTCGTGCTGAGTTGAATGGTGTCCTGCAAAACTCAGTCCACCCAGAACCTATGAATGTGACCTTATTTGGAAATTGGTTCTTTGCAGATGTAACTGAGTCAAAATGAGGTCTTGCTGGATTATGGTGGACCCTTATCCAATGACTCGTATTCTTACAAGTAGAGGTAAATTTGGACAGAGTCACACACAGAGGGAAGATGGCCAGGGGAAGAAAGAGGCAAAGCCTGGAGCTATATTGTCATAAGACAAGAAACACCAAGGACAGCGGGCAACCAACACAAGCCAGAAGCCAGAAAGGATTTATCCCTCGTCTTCAGTAGGAGCATGGCCCTTGACTTCAGAATTCCAGTCTCCAGAATCATTTCTGGAAAATAAATCTCTGCTGTTCTATGCCACCCAGTTTGTGTGAATCTGGCATGGCAGCACTAGGAAACTAAGAACCCCCCCTTATGCCAAAAGACCACAATCATACCTCTTCTGTTCCCTGCAGCCCACCACCATACCTACAGGTATTGCTCAAGAAATAAGACCAAGCTCAGGAAAAATGAGCATTTAGTCAGCAAATACTTACTAAGCAACTCTGATATTTTAGTCACTTGTACTATAGCAATGAACAAAAAGAAACAATCTTCTCAAACATACCAATAAATTCTTGTATATAGTTGGCATTTAAACAAATTCTTTTGCTGAGATCTGAGAAAAGGGAGCAAAAGGAAGAAGGCAAGTGCAAAAGGCATCACGTTTTAAGGCAGTAAAAGTGTTCCAAAACTTGAAAAGAGGTGCATTCTTTTGTACTTGTGAGTTAATCTGTCTCTGCTGCTCACATTTAGAAATATTTTCTCTACAACTGAGGAAGCTGACTCAGGAAGAGATGTTTAAGTCAAGGAATCTGACTTGTTTTGGAAGTAAATGCCATCCAGGAATTTTAAATACTTTGTTTGTTGGTACTCATTTTTCTTTTCCTCCAATCCCTTGCTTTCTATGAGACCTTATTCTTGTCAACTACACCTCTGCCCACAGTGACGTCCCAGAATTTCTATATAGGATCAGTTAAAATTAGCAATGTGGTCGCAAGGGAGAGCAGCGGACGTGTCCAAAGATGTACCTCCACAGAAAGGACACGGTTTACTTAGACTGCATGTTTCTTTGGGGCAGCTAAAGCATCTACCTTAGTCGGCCAACAACTACATTTTTTAAAGAAGCTAACTTGTGGGACACCTGGGTGGCTCAGTTGGTTAAGCGGTTGCCTTTGGCTCAGGTCATGATCCCGGGGTTGTGTGATTGAGTCCCCATCTGGCTCCTTGCTCAGCAGGGAGTCTGCTTCTCCCTCTGCTTGCTGCTCCTCCTGCTTGTGCGCTCTCTCTCTCTCTCTCTGACAAGTAAATAAAATAAAATCTTAAAAAAAAAAAGAAGCTAACTCTTTTTGCTACACACACACACACACACACACACACACACACATAAATGCACATAACTATGAACTGATTAGCATAATTCAGTGGAATGATTCCTGGCTCTTAATGTTTTAAATTCTAGAGACGGGGTATACTGTCTTTCGTATCAGATGCACATCTAAACAACTTTAATCCATGAAAGAACATGGTGAGGATATTCTGTGCTTCCTACAATGTACCTTGCAAAAGCTTGGGAGGCTCTATCAATTAAGCGTTCAACTCTTGATTTTGGCTGAGGGCATGATCTCAGGGTCATGAGATCCAGCCCTGCACGGCGCTCTGTGCTGGGCATGGAACCTGCTTAAGATCTCTCTCTCCCTCTTCCCCTGTCCCTCCCCCACCTCTCTCTCTCTCTTAAAAAAAAAAAAGATAGGGGGAAGAAGGAATTAATTCTGATTTCAAGAAACCTAAAGCCCCTTTGAGATGTGATCAACTGAAAAGCTAATAGATTGCTCAAGTTGGGAATGAGGACGTAGAAGTCATACAGGGCAAAAATAAACACTTGGTAAATATTTGCCCAGAGGTGAGAGTTGAGATGACATATAAAAATGAGATTTGGCCTATGTCTAAGATAATGATTATATCCTCCATGTCACCAAAATAGATCCGAATAAGACCTGAATCTTAAGATGGCTATAAAGTTCAAAGTAGAAATAAAAGTTTTAGCTTTTCCTTTAAACAAACAAACAAAAAAAGTTTCTCCGTGAAAATGGAATAGGGTAGCAAAATCAGAAGAAAAATTAGCCAGAAAAAAAATGAGGTAATTCTTGGGTTCCCAAAATCCATGCTTTTTAATGCATAAAAGAAAATTATTTGGAATGCTTAAGAATGCAAAAAACTATTACCATTTCTTAAATCCTACTCATCAGCAAATAAATTTCACTTCTAAACCTAATCTAAGATACTAATGCTAACACACTTAAGCTTCAGTATGTTTCTGCTTATGTTTTTTAAAGGAAAAACAAAGCAGTTTGCTTTTAGGATTTATGTCTTATTAATGTCAGTAATCTAAATTAAGATTCAGGTAGAAATGAGAAACTTACTCAGTACTTCCAAAGAAGGAAACCTTTCTCTTCCCAAGAATGATTAGCACAGTGTTAAGACTTTGGTAAACTCTAAGGCATGCATAGCTCAGGGCTTCCCTGGGTTGCACTGGAACTGGTATAGATTATCAACACTTTAGAATCTACACATTTATATTTACCCTGGCTCTCTATTTTCAATGTCTTCTACATATTTAAAAATGAAATGTACCTGAGTAAAAAGGACAGTGAAATAAGAATTAAATTATCTAGGCTAGTACATGTTATGCTTTTTCCCATTTGGAAAGTCATTCAACTTCTCTAATTTTCAGGTTTCCATTACCTATAAATTTCCTGTGATATATAACTCACCTACTAGCTGACTGTTTTTAAAGGGAGGTCGGATCATAGGTATGATACTTCTAAGTGCTGCAGTCTTGCAATTAAATCACTTTAGTGTGAAGAGTGTAGTCATTGAGGTATTGATCCAGGTAAAGATGAAGTGACCATCTCAACAAATTTAAGACTACCAAAACTTTTCCTATTTAAAAGAGTCTAGGAAACTGTTCTATTGAAAATTGTTCAGTCAATGTAAATGCACTGAAAATCACAGTTCCCAAGTACAGAGCTTATAAATGGAACCCATGACTAAAAATTACAAGGAAAAAAATAGAAATAAAAAAAAATTAAAATTACAAGTACAAAGAGGTGCTTTGGGGGTACCTGGGTGGCTCAGTCAGTTAAGCATCTGCCTTCAGCTCAGGTCATGTCCTGGGATCAAGCCCCGAATCAAATGGGGCTCCCTGCTCATTAGGGAGTCTGCCTTTCTCTCTCCACCTGCCTCTCCCCTAGCTCATGCTCTCTCTTGCTCTCTCAAATAAGTAAAATCTTAAAAAAAAAAAAAAAGAGGTGCTTTTAACCATTCTAAAGAGCAAGATGTAACACAATCATTTTCAGCAACCATTCCTCTCATTATTCCTAGATTTTTGTTGTTTTAACTTGTGAAATGAAAGTGTTATTTGGTACTATTTGGAGGTTTATTTTTACTTAAGAGTTTTCACAGGTAGGAAGGTCAATTAAAAGCTCAACAGAATTATCAAGAACTTAGCCCGACAGCCTATATAAGAAATTCCAAGCAATCAATTGTACTAATTTTTTGGAAAAAGTAACTTTTACACATGGATAGTTATCAAATCACATGAGTACATTGTTATTTAATATTAGCTGATTCTGTTCTGCTCTTTTGGGCTAAAATTGAGGCACTGAAAATGTCTTTATTGCATAGAGCCCTTCTTTTGAATATTCATTGCAAATTATTTTTTGCCAAGAATATTTGTATGGGTTTTGCAACTAGTATGAAAAAAAGGGAGAGCCCTGGTGTCCAGTGCCTCTTCCTTGATTTAGTCAACTAACCAAGGATGAGTCACCTGACTTCAGGTCTCAGTATCTTCAACTGTAAAAGTAGCTTGTTGGCTTAAAATACTTAAAGGTCCCTGTCAGCTCTTAACATTCTACTCTTATAATTAAACAAAGAAGTGAATTATCCTGGATTAATGGCATAAGTACGGGTAAAAATCAGAAGCAATATTTCTAAGATAGGATAATATAGCAAAACTTCGAGAAGCAGAGTCAGAAGGAAAAAATAAGATTACAGAATCCATCTTACACATTTCATTTTGAAGAAGCCCTAGGAAAATGATTCAGCCTTCAAGAACCCTTCTTCCCACAGCATCCTGGGAATGTAAGATAAAAAGTATTTTACCAAAGCTAGTCCCTGCAGATTTAAACATAAAGATAATACATCACCTGTACTTACACCTTATGAGCAAATAAGAGACCTAAGACCATAAGCTAGAAAGTGTGCTACTGAAGCTAGTTAAGTATACATTCTTGATCACTACAAAGACACTCTAACTTTAATTCTGCCTATCCAGCCAGCTCCAGGGACAGAGGGTACTCATTTGGCAGAACTTGAAATACCAGCATTCACAAAGAAGCCAGGTCAAATATCTTCAGAAGGAGAAACCACGATGAATATCAGCCTCATTCTCAGTTACATATTCTACACATCTTGTACTAAGTTGAACACAGAAGGAAAAAACATAAAATAAATAAAAAGTTTTAATCCTTATAATCTTTGTTCAAGTGATTCTTTTTAAAATATTCCCTGAAGCTACTTCTAAATGGCGGAATTGAGGGTAGAGGGTAGAAGGAACCACTGTTCTAAAGAGAGATCATTTCATTCACTTCCAACATGTTTTAACAAAGAGGTACATGTAACTTCAAAGGGCCTCCTGAACACTTCCTAAAAGATTAGGAAGTATGTTGTACGATTAACCTATTAAAACTGTCAATAAAAGTGGAAACTGACAAGGTCAAAAAGAAAATGAACTGAGGAAATTCAATTAATATTTATGAAAAGTAGGGCATGATTGTCTAAGGGTGGAAAGAGGGAGGAGAATAAAAGACTAATGATATTTCCAGCCGTGTCCACCAATGCCCACCCCCCACATTACAAGGCTCCCACTATTCAGAAATCTGGGTATGATTTTAGCCTGCCTACATTTCCCTGCCAAAATACACACTCCACATGGCCTAACACAGGCTGTATCTGTTGAGTACTAACAACGGAGTCCGGGCAGCACACGGAAGTACTGTCCTGTAATGAAAAAGTGCAACGTGTCAGTAGGCTTGGGAGTTTCTGAAGCGGTCGCAATTGCAGCAAATCATCACTCTGCAACATGTGGGCCACAAAATATGAGTTGGAAGATGAAGGGGTATCCCTTTCTCTTTTCCTTCCAACACCCCTTTTTTTAAACGTGGGGGCGGGGAAGGGGTGGGATCCGGAAATAGACAAGGTAATGGTGGCCACCCCAAGATAGATAAGAACTCCTGGCAACCTAGCGTCCCTCAGGACAGGATGCTACTTGGAAGGCAGGAGGAGTAAGTTTCATTCTCAGTAAGCTCACTCCTTAACACTAAGGATACTCACTGATTGCTCGTGGGAAAGGTAACCTGCGTTCAAATTCTTTTGCCCCATTCCTAATTACAATCTCTGGGGTTGGTAAATTAAAACATCAGTAAAAGGGCCAAAGGACACCCAGAGCTTGTCAGTGCTCTTGAGAGAAGCAGCCACCTCCCGACTACAGTCTCCCCTCCTTTCCGAGACTCGAAAATTAGTTTTGAAGTGGGAATCCCGATGGAGCGTTCGGAGGTGCAGTACTTACCCCCATTCACCCCTATGGATGGCTCCAGTTTAGCTCCGGCGATCGCCAACACTATTCCAATCATGAACCATTCTTTCCTCATTCTCTCCAGCAGCCTCATGTTTGTTAGGGTGGGTGGGTTTTGTTTATTTGTTTGGCTTTTTTTCTTTTTACGCTGAGATCGCTTAATCCCCGGGGCGTCTCCACACTTTCCGCGGTCCCTCCAGACATGCAGCAGAGCAAGTCAAATTGCCACTTGTAAACTAAAGACCAGGGGGTTGCTCGGGCGGCTTTGAGGAGGGCTGGGAGTAGTAGTATCCAGTGACAGGAAAGTCTCACAGAGCGCCGCCATCACTACCACGCGCCTCACAATAGACGCGCACCTTACCAGGGCAGCTCTGGCCTCGGCTCCCAAGCACAAACGCTCTGAAGCGGACACTTGGGCCAGGTTGGCCAACGCAGGCGATCAGATAAGGGAAACTGGCTGCCGGCTAGGACTGACAGACTCGCCCCCGCCAGGACCTGCGGAACTTTAGGAATGACTGCTTCTCGGAGAGACGTAAGGCTTCACAGCCACCCAGGCTTATCAAAGGTCCCGCTCCGACTAAACCTTTAGGCACAGATGGCCGCATCCCTGGAGCACATCTATGGAGAAACTTTCTTTTGCTTCGCCATGAACTTGTGGGAAAGGCTAGCATGCTCTCTGCGCCGGGATTTCTCGGCTGACAGCAGCGGCGGCGGGGTGCAGCGGGGTTTTTCGGTGGCGTGCTTCTTCGGGGCATTACGACGCTTCCCCGACGCCGGCGTAGACGTGTGCGCGGGGGGAAGGAAAGGCCACTTTCGGTCTCCAGGTTCTCCGCGGGATCCCGGGGAGTTGGAGTCGCTATGAGGTCCGCGCGGGAAAACGGTTGCTTCTCTCGGGGAGTTTTAGCCCCGAGGGTGGGTGGAAAATTGCGCGTTGAGCCAACGCCCAAGTCCAGAATACCCTTGCCTTCCAGCATCCTCTCCATCCCGGGAGGGCGGGCGGGACCAGCCAGGTCCGTTGCGTGTTGGACGCTCGGCTCCGAGTCCCCGAGCCCACGCAGGCCCCTGGGAGTCGGGGGGTCTGCAAGCGTTCAGTCCCCTCCCGGGAGCTGGGGACCAGGTCTTCTTTGAGGGCAGTCGTGAGAGCTCAAACTCCTTCCACAGCGAAGCTAAGGATGGGCAGGGTGGTGTGGGAGCAAAGGAGTCTGAAGGGTGCCCGAGTGCACGCTCTTGATTAACCCTTTAGGCTTGCCCATCCCAGCAGCCAGACAACTGTGGGAAGGGGGCCAGGGACCTCAAAGCAAAAAAAAAAAAAAAAAAAGCAACCGAATAGAGGGGAGCTCCCGCCTTCCTTTGGCCCTCGTGCTGGAGTCTTTGCGCCCCCCAGTTTCTCCCTTGAGGTGTTTTCTGGCACCTCAGTGACATTGATCATTTCATGAATGGACTTCAGCTTCTCCCCAATATGCACCGAAATAAATGAACAAATAAAATACTATCCGACATTTTGAAGTAGTGTGGTATCTAACTGTGGAACCTCAGGTTTGTAAGCCTTCTAGGATTGTTCAGTGATTCCAGCCTTTAAATCTGAATTTATTCGAAGTTTGAAAGAGACTCATTTGGAAATGTCCTCTACTTATTTAGCTTTATCTTGATGACATGACTTGTTTTCCCAAAACTTAAGCCAGTTTGTGCAGTTATGCTACCAGTTGTAGGTTACACAGTATGGAGTGTCATCAAATTATACATCAGGCAGAATAGCAAAAAGTGAAACTCAAGATAAAAAGAACTTAATAGGAAGACACAGATGACATTAAACAACTTAACCTGAAAACAGAAAAGAAAGCATATGAGCAGTGATGAAATCTGATGTTAATTATCAGGTAGTCACCAGATAAGTGGTGATGAAAGATAGTTTAGAACACAATTATTTTCAGTCATCGAAGGTATGTTCTTATGTTTTTTTTAAAAAATCATTAAATGTTATGCTTACAGAGAATTGCACTGGTTTAATTTTATGGCTGCTTGCAAATTCCTATTTACTAAGAGCTCTTTGATCTGTTTATAGCAAAATCTAACTCATGGGAAGGATTTTTGTTTGTTTTTAATGGTACTTAAAGGAAAATATGGTGTGCTGCAATTTCTGTTCTGTTACTGTAAGACCTGTATGAGTTTCCCATGGCTACCCTAACAAATATCTAAAACTGGTTGCCTTAAAATAGCAAATATGTTTTCTCATAGCTCTGGAAACCAAATGTCCAAAGTCTAAGTGTTGGCAAGGCCATATTTCCTCTGCAGGCTCTAAAGAGAGAATTCTTCCTTGCCTCTTCCAGCTTCTGGTGATTGTTGGCATAACTTGGCTTCCTTGCCTTATGGCTCCATCACTCCAATCTCTGCCCCTCATCTTCACATCATCTTCTCCACTGTGTGTCTGGCTAGCGGCCACATCACTCCAGTCTCTGCATCTGTTTTCACATTGCCTCCTCTCTTCTATGTTTCCTCTTCTCTGTGTCTCTTATAAAGGTATTTGCCATCGAATTTAGGGCCCACCCAGATAATCCAGAATGATCTCATTTTAAGATCCTTAACTTAGTTACACCTGCAAATATCCTCTATCCAAATTAGGTGACTGTACTCCGTTGAATATGTCCCCCAAATATTTATGTGCACCTGGAACCTCCGAATATAATCTTATTTGAAATTGAGTCTTGGAGATGTAATTAGTTGAGGTCATACTGGGTTAAGATGGGTCCCAAATCCAGTGACTGGTGTCCTTATAAGGAGGACATGTGGTGTTACATAAAAGAGACACAAGGAGAAAGTTATATGAAGACGGAAGCAGAAGACTGGAGTGATGTGTCCATAAGCCGAGGAATGCCAAGGATTATGCCTTGGAAACAACCACCAGAATCTGGGAGAAAGAACAGATTTTTCCATCAAAGCCCCCAGAAAGAACCAACCCTGCTGACATCTTGACTCCTGAATTCTGGCCTAAACTGTGGGAGAATATATTTCTGTTGTTTCAAGCCATCCAGTTTGTGGTACTTTGTTCTGGCAACTCTAGAAAACTAGAACTGGAGTCATTCATAAGTTCCAGGGATTAGATATGGACCTGTTTTTTTGGGGTGCCCACTGTTCAACCCACTATAAGCCCCTTCCTGCCCTCTCTTTCTTCCATTACTATTTCTTCAATATTTCTATCCCTCTTCTCTTTCATTCATTTTTTTCCTATCATTTTTTCCTTTCTTCTCTCTCTTCACCTTAGTCTTTTCTCTTTATTAACCCTGCCACTTCACCTGACATCATCCCAGTGAAAATGTACATGTGAAAACACACATCTGTAAAAGACATATGAGAAATGCTCCTTGTTCAGTAAATATTATATTTGTATATTGAACAATTATTTAATGGTTTCCACTATGTGCCAACATGTGTAAATGTTGCGCATTCAGTTATGAACAAAGACAGACAAAACCTGCCCTCAGGAGTTTATACTCTAGTAGAGGAGACAGATGTAAACAAACATGTAATTACAAATTGCCATTGGAAAGGAACAGTATGTTGTGAATAATCTAGAGTGGGGAAGGTCTCCTGAGATCAGAAGGATGAGCAGGCAGGTGGGAGAAAGCTATTGCTCAGCAAGGAAGAACTTGACACCATGGAATTCAAAGACCAGAGTAGCTAGATGAATCAGTGAAGGAGAGTGATACGGAAAGGGCAGAGAGAACTGGGCAGGGTACAAATCACGTGTGACCTCTTACGTCCTGGTCAAGGATTCAGATTTTATTAAATATTCTAGGAAACCACTAAAGGATTTTAGACTAGCTAGTGGTGACATGTCCAGTTTGCTGGAAAGTTTCCTTAAGAAGCAAACTCTGCACAAGTAGTTCAGGAAGATGTGTCTAAGTGAACGGAGCTGGGAAAGACAATTAGTATAAAAACTGTTAAGCAGAAAGAATAGAAAACAAATGACACTCATCTCTAGGGGAATGGGGAAACAAGCTAAAATAACTCCCAGAATGTCTGTCAAATAGATGCCAGTTCCATTCACTCAGCCAGGGAATCTTTACAAAGCAGATTTGGGGAGGAGATTTTAAATCTAGTTTGTATCTTGTGTGCAAGACCACCGAAGCATATAAGGAGAGATATCTAGAAGGTAGCTAAAATGAAGGTTTGAGCTCATGAAAACAGAATTGCTATAGCTCCTGGATTCTTCAACAATAGCTTATGGAAATCATACTTACTAATGTAGCAAATATTTACCTTTAAACTTTATTACTCACATTGATTACTCAGTCTCTTTGAAGATGGTTTGCTTACTTATAATATTAATGAATGTTTACTATGTGCCAAGAACAGAGGTACATCTTTTTTTTTATTTCATTTCATTTTATTTCTTTTCAATATTCCAGAATTCACTGTTTATGCACCACACCCAGTGCTCCATGCAATACATGCCCTCCATAATACCCACCACCAGGTTCACCCAAGCCCCACCCTCTTCCCCTCTAAAACCCCCAGTTTGTTTCTCAGAGTCCACAGTCTCTCGTGGTTTGTCTCCCCCTCCAATTTCCCCCAACTCACTTCAAACAGTGGTACATCTTTTGTTTACTCTCGTGGACTTTAATAAAATGTTGATAAGAATTCGAGCTCATCAGGCTGTTGAAAAGATTCAGTGGGACAGTGTATATACATTGCCTTGCATGGAACAGATGCTTAGTGACTCACTTACTCAACAAATATTTATTGAGCTCCTTTGTGCGAGGCATTATTTTGGATACTGGGGTTACAAGGAAAAGTGAGAGACAAGGTTTCAGCTGTGCTTCGGTATTCCAATAATTGCATAAAAAAGAAAATGAATAAGTAGTGATAAATGTCAATATGAAAAGAAAACAAATCACATGATAGAGTAACAAAGAGGCTACTCTGGGTGATCAGAGAAAACCTTTCTGAAGGTGTGCAATTTAAGCAGAGAGCCAAATGATGTGGAAAATGTCCACAATGCTAATATTTGGAAAATGAGCACTTCAAGGCACAGGGAGCAATTGGTGAACAACCTATATTAATGCCCTAAGGTAGGATGATCTTGGCATGTGTATTAGTTTCTTATTGCAGCTGTAACAAGCTACCTCAACTTTGTGGTTTGAAACAAACGTGCTATCTCACAGTTCTCAGGCTCAGAAGTCAAAAGTGGATCTCACTGAGCTAAAATCAGCATATCAACAGGTCTGCAATCTTTTCTGGCTTTCTAGAGGAGAATCTATTTCCTTTTCCTGCTTCTAGGGGCTACTTGCATTCCTTGACTTTTGGGTTCCTTCAGGATCAAAGTCAGCAACTGCCCACCCAGTCTTTCGCA